CCCACAGGCGGCCCGAGGGGTCGGCGGCCCGGAGCGCGGTCAGCGGGCGGTAGCGGGCGTTGGTCTGCAGGCGCAGGGGCGGCCTGGCCGAGCCGATGACCTTGACAATGGCCTGTGTGGTGGAGTCCTGAGCTCCGGAACCCAGGGACGGGGCTTCTGTAGGGTGGGGTCCCCTACATGCTCAAGGGCGTCTTGGGGCCGCGCCCCCCTCACCTGGGCCACATCCTGTGGGCTCTGCCCTACGGAGCAGAAGAGCTCCCTGGAGGCCGGGAGGTAGAGATCCCTGAAGTAGTGCAGGGTGTCAGGGTCAGGGCCTGGGAGCTCCGCCGCGGACACCTGCTCCAGGAGCTTTCCTTCGAAGTCCGTGGCCACCGGGCCGGGTTCCACCAGGGAGATGCTGGGAACAAGGACGGGGAGGGGGCCCGGTGCTCCAGCACACTCATGGCTCCATTTCGCTCATTACTGTCCCTCTTCCCTTTTCGCCCTCATGTCTCCCGTCATTGTTTCATCCCTCCCTGTGCACCCATCTCCTCGCTGCCCCCATTTCCTCGCCTGCCCCATCACCCCTCCACTCCCCCACCCTGCCCAAGGGCTCGCCTCGCCTCACAAGATGTTGAACTGGAGCAGCTGGATGGCCAGGCTCTCGAAGAATCCTTCCAGGGCAAACTTGGAGGCCACATAGACGTCGTTGAACACGACACCTGAGAGGGTTGGAGGAAGGCGGGCCCTTTGGGGCCTGGGTGATGGGTTTTGTGGGTCCAGGGGGAGGGGGTCTTTGGGAGACAGAACAAAGAGGGTTTGAGGATCGGAATGAGGAGCCATCTGGGGCCAAGGCAGTGGTGTATGGTACCGGGTGATGGGCATGAGGTTGTCCTGGGGTGCCAGCTGCCACTTTTCCCCAGCAGTGCTCCATCTGCCCTTGGCCCAGGAAATGCTCTCACTTCCCTCCTTCCTCTAAACCCTGAGGGCTACCTGGGTCTGGATCCCCAGGGCCCCTGAGGGTGAGTCCTGTTCAGCCCGGTCCTTATCAGTCCTGCTCAGCAGTGAATGCGGTTGGGTGAGGGGCCAAAGGAATGGGCCAAGTAAATGCAGCTTCTCCGCTGCAGGGCGGTGAAAAGGGAGGATTCCTTAGGGGACAGCTGGGGAGGGGGCATATCTGAAGAAATGTCCAAGGAGAAAGGGAGGCTAGGGGGTTCGAGGAAGAGAAACCCAGGAGCATGGAGGTGGCGAGTAGGTGGCCTCCACTGCAGGCCCATGGCAGACGTCACTGGTCAGTCACTGTTCTTTTCTGAGGAACTTCAGAATCCCAAACCTAGACGCCCTGGGGCCTGGTGGGAGGGTTTATCAAGGAGGAATCTCAGGAAAAGGGGTTCTGATGCTTTTTTTGGATTCTGGGGGGTGGTTGGGAGAGATTTTTGGAGGTGTTCAGAAGTGGGGCGCAGATGGCCATCGGCAGCACCTGTACTGCTGCTGCCGAGTCCCGCACCAGTCACTCTCCTCCAGAGCTTTTCCTTCTGAGCTTCAGAGCCCTTCCCAGCGCGGGCTCCTGTGGAATATGAACTAAAACCTGTTTGCCATCCTTCCAGCTAAGGAGAGCCAGGCACGGGGGGTTCCCAGGGGTGGCACCCCAGAGCTTACCCTGCAGCCCCATGACACTGCTGACCACCACGATGTGGCCCTGTCGCCTTCTCTTCATGCCAGGAAGCACAGCTTTGACCAGGCGGACAGCTCCAAAAAAGTTGGTATCAAAGACTTTCTGCATGGTAGCCAGGCTGAGCCCCTCCAGGGGCCCCACCAGGCCCACTCCAGCATTACTCACTGGGGGGGAGGTGCTGAAGGTTACTTTAAAGTCCCCCCACCATTCCGGTGTCACTCCTTCAGGGACACTCCCCGAATCAGCCCACCCACCCACTCCAAATCCAGGGTATCCTGGGTGGACAAACGTGGAGCCTTGATAATATTTACATATAATTCAACATTTGCTATAGGGGACCCTGAACCCTTGGTGGGAGGAAGCACTTCTGGGAACAACCTCCCCTTTAATGTTTGAGTGATTCAACTCTGACCCCAAATTGCATCCAGCCATACCCACCCTCCTTGGGTATGTTAAGGAGTCATGAGCTCCTCTTCACCATGCTCCCTTCCCCAAATGACTCATCAAGCCACATAGGATTTTCTCCATGTGTGAGAAGTTTTCTTCAATAAAATCCCTCTGCGCAAAGATTTCAGTTTATTTCTTGTAGCCCTACTAAGACTTTGGTTCTTGGCCAACTGGTCTACCCCTTCTGTTCAGGGCAAGAGGATGCTGGTGCCCAGACACTGCAGGGCCTCGCTGTGGTGAGAGTGTGTGCTTAGGCCAGGGAGGGGGCGAGTGACCCCAGGGACTTCTCAGTCTCACCCAGCACGTCCACTTCTCCTCCCTGGATGCAGCTGAGACATTGGGCCACTGACTCATCACTGCACACATCCAGCTGGGCCACAGTGAGGGTCTGACCCAGAGCCTCCCCGGCAGCTGCCTCCAGTGTCCCCTTCTTTCCCATATCTCTCATGGTGGCCACCACTGGGGACAGAGAGCAGTTGAGCAGGTACTGGCTCCTTTCGCCTATGTATGGACTTGCATGTTTCTATGATCTTGCATGAGCAGTCACAGAGGGATGAAACCCACAGGTTTGCACACCTACATTCACCGCACATCCACAAATGCACACTTGTGTACATATCTTTACATGCTTATCCATCCATCCATTCATCCATCCAACATATTTATTGAGCATCTACTACATACCATGTCCTATTCTAGGTACTGAGGCTATTGCATAAAATAAGATAAAGTTAGTGCCTTCATGGAATTCACAGCTTAGTAGGTCAGACAATAAAGTGAACATAAAACATATCTCCTTGAGAAAATAAATGCATATACACCTAGGGTCAACATATGTGCTATGTGCACATGCAAGTATGATAGACGCATTTACATCATCAACATAAGTTCTGACTTATTGAACACCTACTATGTGCCAGACACTGTGCTAAACACTGTTAGAAGAACCATCTTGATTCCTTATAAGAACCGTATGATTAGATCACTGACTTATTTTCCAAAGATGGCCACAATGCTTTTCATCTAGAACCTTGCTGCTTCCCCATCAAGACATAAATCTCTTGTCCCCCTCTTTGAATCTTGTGACTAGCTGTGAACCAGGGTTTTCCTCATTTCTAAGATGGGGTAAATGATAGCGGCCACCTCAGAGGGGTGATGTGGGGATTAAATAGCTAACCAGATGCAAAACATTTAGCCTGGCACATTGTAAGTGCTCAATAAACACCATCCTTTAGCAGTGTATACACCCTGCCTGCCGCAGGGACACACACAGCTCAGTGGCTGTCCCGCATACTGGCACTCAGACGGTCACACTCAAAGCTGTGCATGTGTCTAAGACAGAGGACAGAGAGCCAGCTGGGAGAGCAGCTCTGCCAACTGGGACAATGCCCTCCCCCCTGCAGCCTCCTCTTAGGTAAGAGCCCTTTGCCTGCTTGGACTCCAGTCTGCTCTCGGCCAGAGGTCTCCATGGGTGGGCTGCAGACGGGCAACTGACTTCAGAACTGCAGGAGGCCAAGTCCCTAAGCCAAGTCCTTTAGGACCCCTTGAGCCCTCCAGGTCAGATTCACTTAAGAGGCTTATCTTGGAGCAGTAATCTGGGGAAGGGTGGGGGAAGGGAGTCCTAAGTGAAACCTCCCTGCCCAGCCCTTCTAAAACTGTCCCCCCCCCCCCATTCCCCTTGCTTCATTTTGTTTCTTAGCACGTCTATAAAAATTTTAAATCTGCATGTTGCCTTCCCTCCCTCCCCTCCCCCACTACACCACTATTGGAGCAGAGATTTCGGTCTGTTTTGTTCACAGCTGTTTTTCCAGCACCTAGAATAGTGCCTGGCATCCAGGAGATGCTCAAGAAATATTCACTGGATGAGGGGTTGATTCATAAGGAGAGGTAGGCAGGGGGCTTCCACTTGTCCTGGGTCCTCCCCAAGCCCACAAATGCAGCTGGGAGGGAAGGGCTGGTGGAAATAGTGCCAAGGGGGCTGAGGGTCTTGGAAGCCGTGCCCACCCTGCCCTGGGCCCCTTACCCTGGTAGCGCTGCCTGGAGTCATGAGCCAGCTGCACTGCGAGCTCCAGGCCAATTCCAGACGAGCAGCCTGAGATCAGCACAGTCCGGGGACGGTCAGCCATGTTGACCCCCCCTGGATGCATGGACTCTGCTGGCCAGCACCTGCTCCCTGCCACCCATCTCCCTAAACATCTTTGAAACAGGCCCCCTGCAGGGCAAAGGGCCCCCTCGAGCCCCTGATTCTGAACTGATTGAGGGCAAGCAGCTGGGGGGAATTCCTTAACCCCAATACACCCTCTTTTCTTTATCTGTAAATATTTCTTCTCACTGCTACACTTACAATGTGGAGCTTTTTATTAGGCTTGTAAATTATTCAGGGCTGGGGGCAGTTTCAGGGAGCCTGGGGAATTACAGGGGTACTCTCTTGCTGTCTCTATTCTGGGCAAAGAATCTCCGATTGGAGGGAGAGAGGGAGAGAAGGTGACAGAGTGTGGTCTCAGAAGGGTCCTTTCAGATGTGCACAGAAATGTCAGAAGACAGGGAGAGATAGAGCAGAAACTTCCCAGCAAGGCAGGGCAGGGCAGGGCAGGGCAGAAACTTTATGAGAACCTTAGCCTCAGATGTCCCTGGGGAGGGAGGAGGAGCAGCCTGGGGAGATTCCCTCTGCTCCCCCCACCCTGGGAGCCCCCACCTCTCTCTCAGGCCAGATGGGTCCCCACCCCCTCCTCTCCAGGGACACAGAGACTCTTTGTCTGAGGAGCCAGGGGCTGGGAGGGAGGCACTGCTGGCTTCTCTCTTGGTGGTGAGGGGGGAGTTCAGGGCCCAGGATACGCCCCTTGGGCTCCTCCCTGTGGAAGCTTCCTCAGATCACACACGTCTGCTCTTGTTCAATTGCGCAGACAGCTTTGCCTGGTCCCCTGGGGCCTCTTCACACTGGGGGGTCCCAGTAGGGTGAGGGGGGCTCTGCCTCACCCCAGAAATGGCAGGGGACTGCTCCTCCCTGTGGCAGTGCTCCACATTTCATGGGGGTATGTGTGAAGATTTGAGGTTGGGGCCAGGGCATCCATCTGGGACCTGAGTGGGGGAGAGGAGGGCTAGGCATGGAGGTGGGACCCTTTATTTGAAGATTAAGAGTTTGGGGGAAATCAAGGCCGGTGCTTGGGAATCTGGGATAAGGTTGGGGGTGGGGCCTGGAATCCAATTCTGGAATTTGGGAGGATAGATGAAGGTTTACGGCAAGTCTGGAAACTTCATTTGGGAATCTGGGGCGAGGTCTGAGGTGGGGCGTGGACCCTTTATTTGGGGACCTGAAGGGAAGGTGTTGGGGTGAGGCAGTACCTCTTCTGTGGGGCTAAAGGGTTGGGGCAAGGCAGGTGGCAAGAGTCTGGTGTGAGCCTGAGATCCCCTTTAGGGGCCCTGGGTGACAGAAGGAATTTGGTATAAAGCTATACCCCCTGCTACCAGGGCCTGGGTGGAGGCTGAAGTTTGAATGAGGCGAAGATCTCCTTTGAGGGGGCCTGTTAGGAGGAAAGAGTTTGGGGTAAACCTGGGACCCCAAATTCTAAGGCTGAGTGGGAGTGACCCTGCTCCTCCAGAGTGGGGTGGGGCCAGAAGGGCCCAGCGCGGGCCAGGGCTCCGCCCCCAGCTGGCCAATCAGCGCTCGGCACAAACTTCCGAACTTCCCCTCGGCCGTCGGCCGCTCGCCTCCGCGGTCCCGCCCGGCCGGGCGCCGCAGAGCAGGGCGAGGCCAGGGCGGGG